AGAGACTGCATAAGGACTGTTAGAAAAGCATTACCCATAGCGAACTATCTGAATGACGTCACTAAGACACGCCCCCGCCGCCTGTCAACTCCCGCCCACATGTTTCGGACAAACACTGCCAAAATGAATCAAATACCTCTTGTCACTTTAGACGAAAATGATAAACCAGGGGCAAAATTCCACCATCAAACCATCAGGGATCATAGTGTAGACCAATTAAAACGTTGGCTTGAATGTCGTGGTCTTCCAGTAACTGGTAGAAAGTTTGATTTGATAAAAAGGTAATGGTGAGGATTATGCTAACATTATCTAGTCATTTAAATTGCAATGTTAGCGCCTTCTTTGTTTATTTTGCTCTGATTAACTTCCATTTATCAAGTTGTTTTTTGTACTGTCCATTTCGTAATTAGTTTGATCATTTAGTTAACTACAGTCAGCCGATATTATAATAGATCCATGGGGTCACAACGGGCTACACCACTACTGTCTCTGAGAGAGAAACTATCGGAGCTAGCCACACTCAGTAAACGCAAACGACAATCAATCAACATATTTAAATGTTAATGCTAGAATATAATATTCATACAACACACGTGCACAGAGGTTTTCAGAATTATCTGTTAAGGTTTTCATGACAAAAATACTTTTTTAATGCGACTAAAGCGATCGCTTTTTTAAAGTAGGTGAACTAAAACCTTTGGGAACTATTTTCTTTGCACTCATTAAATAAACCTTTTGGCATGAATAGTGACAGAAGTTTATTTTGTGTGTTCAGTTGGTACAAAGCCGTATAATAAAGCGGACCCCAACGCGCTTCGTCTGTGCTTATTTTCCGATAGTCACGAAGTTGAAAAAATCCCTCTCATCTTTCTTCAGGTGTGAGAATTGTATACATTCTGGATTAGGACAAACAATACTAATATGGATTGATGGGGCTAACTACATTCAGAAGAGCTCAGACGGACCTGATACAGCGGTCCAGGTCCAGTCCCAGCTAAACGTAGCTAGGACTGGATCTGGAGGCTCCACAGTTGGTCCAGCGAAGTGTTTTGAAAAAACATGTCCTTTTTAACATTTTCATGAGAGAAATTCTGCTGACCACAAGCACCCACCTCTTGCACTTGTCCTGGTCTGGTCCTGGTCTGGTTCAATGGTGTGGTTTAACGAACAGGTTGAATGTTACTGCTTTCATATAGTCCTTTTCAGAGTATCTGAAATCGCTCCCACAAGCACCATAACTGCAGTGTTTTGTTGTCACCATGATTCAATGATTTAGCCCAAATAAATACACACGCTTATGTGGAGAACACAGTAGTACTCAACGGAGTCGGACAGAGTTTGTCCGAAACATGCGCGCATGCGCAGTCATTGGAACTATTTTTAGCACATTTCGGAAACCGGACAGTGCCCTATCGATTATTAAGCTTGGACCAGTGGGGTCCGGTGTTCGGGCCCCACCACGTAAAACCAGTCCCCATGACGTGAGTGGAATCTCAGGTTATGGAACCCACTAGGAGTTGAAAACAAGTGCACACACTCTCACACTCACTCACACACACTCACTCATACACACACACACACAGCCACTCACACGCTCACACACACACACACTCTCTCTCACAAAAACACACAGACATCCACTCACATGCTCACACACACACCCATTCTCTCTCTCACATATGCTCTCACAAACACACACTCACACACAGCCACTCTCACACACTCTCACACTCACTCACACGCACACAAACACACACTCAGACACTCATACACACACACACATAGACTCTCACACTCACACACTCTCACACTCACTCACACACACACATACACACTCTCAGACTCACACACTCACTCACACCCACACACACACTCTCTCATACACGCACACAGACACACTCCCTCTCCCTGTTTGTCAGTTTGATCTTGTTTTGGGAACAAGGGCTTTCGAGCTGAGAGCGACCACTTCATTGTCGCTCACAAACGTCCACAAAGCGCAGAGGGGGCGGGACGAGAGCGCTCCGTAAATACTTGATTTCAAACCAAAAAATCCACATCAGTTTTGCGGCGGGAAAACACAATCGCTAGCTTCATATTTGTTCAATTATCGGCGGTGCGTGGAGAGAGGTGTTTGGCAGATTGGTAAACACGGACATTAACATAACTGTAATAATGACCAGTACTTTCCCTGGACTCTTCCTTTCTCTCATTCCCATTATAGTTTTGTAATTCTCAGGATCTGCGTGGAACGTATTATTTATCTAGCGCATTTCAATGGTTGTGTTTGTGGAATTATTTTTCATACAAAGCACTTGAAGAGATTACTCAGGGATGGGTGGAAGCTGCCTCCCAATCTGACAAAAACAAGAGACAAAACAGACAATTCTTTTTATCCCGGTGGTTTGAGATACCGCGGCCCAGGCTGTTGCAGAGGCAAAAACCCGGGACTGGGAGGAGTTCGGAGAGTCCATGGAGCATGACTATCGGTCGGCCTCGAAGAGGTTCTGGCAAACCGTCCGGCGCCTCAGGAGGGGGAAGCAGTTCTTTGCCAACACCGTGTATGGTGCGGGTGGAGAGCTGCTGACCTCGACTGGGGATATTGTCGGGCGGTGGAAGGAATACTTCGAGGTTCTCCTCAATCCCCCCGTCACGTCCTCCGTCCAGGAGGCAGAGGCTGAGGATGTTGGGGCGGATACTTCCATCTCCCTGGCCGAGGTCACCAAGGTGGTTGGTAGCCTCCATGGTGGCAAGGCGCCGGGAGTGGATGAGATCCGCCCTGACTATCTAAAGTCTCTGGATGTTGTAGGACTGTCTTGGCTGACACGTCTCTGCAACATCGCGTGGCGATCGGGGGCGGTGCCAATGGAGTGGCAGACCGGGGTGGTGGTCCCTCTCTACAAGAAGGGGGGCCGGAGGGTGTGTTCCAATTATTGTGGGATCACACTCCTCAGCCTCCCCGGTAAGGTCTACTCCAAGGTACTGGAGAGGAGGTTACGGCCGATGGTCGAATCTCGGATTCAGGAGGAACAGTGTGGTTTTCGTCCCGGTCGCGGAACACTGGACCAGCTCTATACTCTCCATCGGATACTCGAGGGTTCATGGGAGTTCGCCCAACCTGTCCACATGTGCTTTGTGGATTTGGAGAAGGCGTTCGACCGTATCCCCCGGGGTGTCCTTTGGGGGGTCCTCCGGGAGTACGGGGTCCGGGGTCCTCTGCTGAGGGCCGTCCGGTCCCTGTATGACCGGAGTCAGAGCTGTGTTCGCATTGCCGGCAGTAAGTCAGACCTGTTCCCGGTGCATGTTGGCCTCCGCCAAGGCTGCCCTTTGTCACCGGTTCTGTTCACTGTATTTGTGGACAGAATTTCTAGGCGCAGCCAAGGGTCGGAGGGGGTCCGGTTCGGGAACCACAGGATTTCATCTCTACTTTTTGCGGATGATGTCGTCCTGCTGGCTCCAACGAACCAGGACCTGCAACATGCACTGGGACGGTTTGCAGCCGAGTGTGAAGCGGCTGGGATGAGAATCAGCACCTCCAAATCTGAGGCCATGGTGCTCGACCGGAAAAAGGTGCCTTGCCCTCTGCAGGTGGGTGGAGAGGTCTTTCCTCAAGTGGAGGAGTTCAAGTATCTCGGGGTCTTGTTCACGAGTGAGGGAAGGATGGAGCGTGAGATTGACAGGCGGATTGGTGCAGCATGCGCAGTGATGCGGTCGCTGTATCGGACCGTCGTGGTAAAGAGGGAGCTGAGCCGAAAGGCAAAGCTCTCGATTTACCGGTCAATCTTCGTTCCCTCCCTCACCTATGGTCATGAGCTGTGGGTAATGACCGAAAGAACGAGATCGCGGATACAAGCGGTCGAAATGAGCTTCCTCCGCAGAGTGGCTGGGCGCTCCCTTAGAGATAGGGTGAGGAGCTCAGTCACACGGGAGGAGCTCGGAGTAGAGCCGCTGCTTCTCCACGTCGAGAGGAACCAGTTGAGGTGGCTCGGGCATCTGTTCAGGATGCCTCCTGGACGCCTTCCTGGGGAGGTGTTCCGGGCACGTCCCACCGGGAGGAGGCCCCGGGGAAGACCTAGGACACGCTGGAGGGACTATGTCTCTCAGCTGGCCTGGGTTCCCAGGCCAGGCCTTGGGGTCCCCCCAGACGAGCTGGAGGAGGTGTGTGTGGATAGGGAAGTCTGGGCGTCTCTGCTTAGACTGCTGCCCCCGCGACCCGACAACGGATAAAGCGGAAGAAAATGGATGGATGGATGGATGGTTTGAGATATTTTTGCTCAACTTTTACATTAAAATAGCGTAACGTAAATCACTGAACGTAATAATGTAAAGTGCGCTTTTCAGTGGCTCTAAGTTATTACAATTACAATCTGACTTTTCCTGCCAGAGAGAGAGATACTTACTTCTCTATTATGCCAAAGATAGAGATGTTATTTTATGTTGTGGTTTACTTTTGAATGGGCTGGAAAGTCCTAAGTAGCCCTGAAAAAGTGTTGTGCTTTCAAATGTTATTTATTTTTCTTGCTTTTTTCTGCCTGAGATGTTGCTGCAGTACAGTGTTCATGGTTTTGCACTGGTCCAGACCAGAGCAGAGAGGATTCATGGTCCGAAACAAGCGGATCAGGTGAAAATCCACTGGAGGAATGCTAACTTTTTGTAAATTGCTAATAAAGCGTTCAGCCTTTTACTTTGGACTACAGCAGAGAAAATGGTTTGAACCAAGCGACTACTCCACCTCTGATGCTATGATCTAAAGTGCTGTTGCATTTTAAAACTAGTGTTAGCTATTTTTAGAAGTATCTTTTTGTTTAGTTTGTATGAATGCATGTGTTTCTCCTACAGGGATCAATAGCGTCTCTATCCATCTATCTATCTATCCATTCCCCCTGCACTACAGTGAATAATGAATGAAAACCCAGACTCTGCTTACATATATAACAAACAAGAGGTTTAATTCATACAGATTACAGATAACATGCAAATTACAGACTAAGCGCCTGCTCAAGATGAAATCTCACAAAGTGACCCAGGGTCTTAGGGTGCTTTCACACCTGTTGGTCCAGTAAAGTGGTTCGCTTGGGCCCTAAAGTTGTTACAATGTTGCAGTTCTCAACTAGTTCGGTTCTCATTCACACCAGTGTTTTTGCAAATGAACCAACCACTGTAGATGTTACATATTCCCAACACCCATGTGGTGGCGCTGTTCACAAAATACTGTGTATTGGATGACGTATGTGACTGTGCTACTCTGCGTTTTTTGGCTATTTTTTATCATCGTTGCTTTGTGCCACACAAATACTGTTGTTCCAGTATGTATCGCAGATTCAGCACGAGAACAATCTGCGGGTGTTTTTGACGATTCTATCATATAAAAAAACAATGTGTGTGTCAAAAAGTGAGCTACGCAACAGACCAGGGCCACATTGAGGCCGGTCTGCGTTCTCACCAGCAGCGAACCAGGCTGGAGTCCACATGGAACCGCACCGAGACCAGCTCCATATGGTGGTCTCGGTGCGGTTCTTTAGTCCGGACCAAATTTAACTGGTCCACTTTCACACCTGCTCAAACGAACCGTACTTGCAGGTGTTCCAGACTCCAGTCCGCTTTAAGTGGACTAAATGGTGCAGGTGTGAAACCACCCTTATACTTCTTAGCAGATGGTTCACAAGTGTGAGGCAGGTCGGCCGTGAGCGGGTTGGAGTGCAGTTAAAATAATCAAAAACACAAAGAGGTCGCCGTGGTCCACATATTTTACTTATTTTTTTGGCTTTTCAATAAAAATACAAACAAAAGTGCACACAGGCAATAAAGTGCAGGAGTGCAAATGGAGTGCTTCCTCTCCAGCAGCAGCGCGCAGACTGATGTTTCCCAGGTCCTTTTATTTGGTGCCGACTGCTGGGTAAAACCAAGTTGTAAAAGCAGGGGTGTAAAAATATGCTTAGCTTTAGTAAAACAACTTAAAACTCCATTTACAAAACCCAACCCATAACTCATCTAAAATACCCAGATACCATTTATACTAAAAGCCCTAAAACCAACACCAAGTAATATTAAACATTTTAACTATTAAAATACCCCCTCCAACTCCCCCATACAAAATCCATGTGGTCCTGTGGCCCGGAACCATAAAAGGGGGAGCTCGTTCCTGGTGGGACCCTTTTGCCTACCGGACACAGAAAAAAGTAAGTACACACCACACACCCCACATATACATCTTCACCAAACCCATTTAAAATACACCAACACACACACACTTAAAACACTCTTCAACAGATATTGCACCTATCGCACATAATTTAGGGATTGGCTAAAATAAATGACTGTTTTCCTTTTTCCTCCAGGGTCCAGCTGCAGCCAATTACCTGCCAGCACCTCTGGATAAAAACATGGTAAAAAGGAAAGACCTGTTTAATAAATATTTTAAAACCAACTCTGTGCAATGTTCTTTTTGATGTGCAAATATGCTTAAAGTGCTGTGTGCTATAAAGGTGACTTGTGTATTTAAAGTGGCTCAGTGAAGGTGCACTAAGTAACAAAGTCAGTTTGTTACATTTCCCCCCTCCTCTCGAAGGCAAAGCCTATTCTTCTTCACGTCTAGACAGGAAATCAGCTACAATGTTTGTCTTGCCTGGCCTGTATTGGACCGTGAAGTTATAGGGTTGGAGGGCCAGGTACCATCCAGCGATGCGGGTATTTGCCTCTCTCATGCGGTGTAGCCACTGAAGTGCCCGGTGATCTGTTTCCAGGATGAAGTGCCTTCCAAGCAGGTAGTAGCGCAGGGAGTCAATCGCCCACTTCATCGCCAAACATTCCTTCTCCACTGCCGAGTAGCGAGTCTCCCGGTCCAGCAGCCGCCGACTCAGGAAGACAACAGGCCTTCGTTCCCCATCCTTCTCCTGGAGGAGGACTGCTCCTAGTCCCACCCCAGAAGCATCTGTTTGGAGGACAAAAGGCTTATCAAAATTAGGGCTTTGGAGGACTGGACGGGTGCAAATAGCCTCCTTCAGGTCAGAAAAGGCTTCTTCGCAAGCCTCAGTCCAGTGAACCTTGTTTGGGGCAGAGTTCTTTGTCAGGTCATTGAGGATAGCCGTTCTCTCCGCAAACTGGGGAATGAACTTCCTGTACCATCCAACCAGTCCTATGAACCCCCTGACCCTTCTTTTTGTCGTGGGCACCGGGAAGGATTGGATGGCCTCCATCTTCTGCACTTGAGGGGTAATCCGTCCATATCCAATGGTGTATCCTAGATACTCCACTTCCCTATGGGCCACTGCACACTTTTTGGGGTTGATGGTCAGTCCGGCAGCCTGGATTCTCTGCAGGACTTCCTGGAGGTGGCAGAGATGTTCCTCCCAGGATTCACTGTAGATCACCACATCATCTAAGTATGCAGCTGAAAATTTTGACACATCCCGGAGCACATGGTCCATCAGCCTTTGAAATGTGGCTGGGGCTCCCTGCAGTCCAAAGGGCATGGACCTTATGAAATAACAAAACGGATCAGTAATGTCACATACGAACTGTTTATGCCAGAGAGACTTAAAAAGAAACAGAAATTTCACATTAATCTTCTGAAAGAATTCATTGTCCGCCAGGAGCCTTCTCAGCAGTTTTTGGTGCGTGCTGTGAAAGATGAGGAGATTACAGAAAAGTTCTTCCCTGTCCCTCCCAAAGAGCCAGCTGCCATTGACCTTTCTCACCTCTCTCCCCCTCAGCAGGACGAGATAAAACCTTTCTTGAACCCAGGTCTGTTCCAGGAGACGCCTGGCTTTACGTCACTGGTCCAACATCAGATCCACCTCAAGCAGGAAGCTCCAAAGAGACAGAGGAGCTACAGGATCCCAGAGCGGTTGGTGCCAGTGCTAAAGAAAGAAATTGAACTCATGCTTGATCTGGGAATTATTGAAGTGTCAAATAGTGAATGGTGTAGCCCTGTGGTGCTTGTGCCAAAAAAGGATGGATCTCTGCGTTTTTGTATCGATTTCAGATACCTGAACGCCATCTCAAGCTTTGACCCCTACCCAATGCCCCGCATCGATGAACTTCTGGAGCGCGTGGGCAGAGCAGCCTACATCACCACGCTGGACCTTTCCAGAGGCTACTGGCAGTTGGCACTGGCACCAGAGGCAAGAGAGCTGACGGCCTTCAAAACACCGTTCGGCCTCTATCAGTTCAGAGTCACACCCAAGGGACAGGATTGCTTTTTGTGCAAAATAAATCTTTTGGCAACTTTGAATGTGACTTCTGCTGTCTCACTTTGACACTCGGGCCAGCTTCCCCACATATGGTGGCAGCGGTGGGATACACTTCTGACGCCATATAAACACATAAGCAGCACATGATCCTCGTGCTGTCTCACATGAGGGTCCTAGTTTGAGCAGATCTGATGTTGTTCTCCCAGATGTCACGTCAGTCTCAGGATTCCAGAGAAGGGTCAGTTTAGAGTCATTGGCTCAAATGTCACATAAACACATTACACCTGTACTGCACGTAAGATATGTAGAACTTAATAACAGACACTACAATGTTACCGGTAATCTAGTGCTGTGTGTATCAATCTAGTGCTGTGTGTATCAATCTAGTGCTGTGTGTATCTATCTAGTGCTGTGTGTATCTATCTAGTGCTGTGTGTATCAATCTAGTGCTGTGTGTATCTATCTAGTGCTGTGTGTATCAATCTAGTGCTGTGTGTATCTATCTATTGCTGTGTGTATCAATCTAGTGCTGTGTGTATCTATCTATTGCTGTGTGTATCAATCTATTGCTGTGTGTATCAATCTAGTGCTGTGTGTATCTATCTATTGCTGTGTGTATCTATCTAGTGCTGTGTGTATCTATCTAGTGCTGTGTGTATCAATCTAGTGCTGTGTGTATCTATCTAGTGCTGTGTGTATCAATCTAGTGCTGTGTGTATCTATCTATTGCTGTGTATCAATCTAGTGCTGTGTGTATCTATCTGGTGCTGTGTGTATCTATCTAGTGCTGTGTGTATCTATCTCGTGCTGTGTGTATCAATCTAGTGCTGTGTGTATCTATCTGGTGCTGTGTGTATCTATCTAGTGCTGTGTGTATCTATCTAGTGCTGTGTGTATCTATCTAGTGCTGTGTGTATCTATCTAGTGCTGTGTGTATCTATCTAGTGTTGTGTGTATCTATCTAGTGCTGTGTGTATCTATCTAGTGTTGTGTGTATCTATCTAGTGCTGTGTGTATCTATCTGGTGCTGTGTGTATCTATCTAGTGCTGTGTGTATCTATCTAGTGCTGTGTGTATCTATCTAGTGCTGTGTGCTCCTCATTCCTACTGTTCTATAACTGGTGATGCAACATTGACATGTTTGACACTTTACAGCTGCAGTTGCCCCTCTGTGGAACCTGGTGTTCCAGAGGTCTCCCATCACAATACTAACCAGGCCATGCCCTGCTTAACTTCATAGGTCTGACAGGATCTGGCTTTGACCTGCAGGTGGTGCCACAAATGTCAGTGTTGCATCACCAATTACAGGACAGTAGGAATGAGGATACACACAGAACAAGATAGATACACACAACACTATAGATACACACAGCACAAGCTAGATGTGTGTGTGTGTGTGTGTGTGTGTGTGTGTGTGTGTGTGTGTGTGTGTGTGTGTGTGTGTGTGTGTGTGTGTGTGTGTGTGTGTGTGTGTGTGTGTGTGTGTGTGTGTGTGTGTGTGTGTGTGTGTGTGTGTGTGTGTGTGTGTGTGTGTGTGTGTGTGTGTGTGTGTGTGTGTGTGCGTGCGTGCGTGCGTGCGTGCGTGTGTGTGTGTGAATGAGAGTGAGATGTGCTGATGGTACGAACCGGTTGCCTTGTCTTTGTCAGCGTGCCCCAGGGCAGCTGTGGCTAGAGTAGTAGTTTGTCACCACTGTGTTTGGAGTGACTGAATAATGACATGTGAAGCACTAGGGTTGAAAACTAGACGTTACTGAGTGGCCTTGTGTGATTTTAATGTTTCTTACCTTGTTTTTTAAGCACTTGCCTCTGAGTCTCATCGCTCACTACTTTTATCACAAACTTCCTCGAGTGAAACCTTAATTCAAGATGTTATAAGAAAATCATTAGATATCACAGCTTTAATTGCCGTAGCCACAGCCTTGTCATTGTGTGTCTACTTTAGTCCCACTCGTGTTCTCCTCACTTCTCCCTCATCAGCCCCTCTCTCCTCATACCTCCACTGGCTCCTCTCCTCTTCCTGTGAGTGCGATTTCCCAAAAACCACCACTCCCACACCTGTTCTTCCCCCGAAAACAAGCCATCACGGACCCAACATGGACCCCCATCTCAAGCCGTTTCACCTGCTCCACCTCCCCTATCTCCCCCCTCACCCCTCCACCTCCACCCTCTGTGGCTCCAGCCTCTGGGAGAGTTAAATATGGCTGCCGGTAGTTCCAGGAGGGGAGTACCAGCGGGAGTCGAATTCAGGCAATTACAATCAAAGTCAAAGTCGTATTTAGTTGTTGCGTGGGCTCTGCTGTGGCTGCACCTGAGGCGGATGCTGATGAGACACTAGGTCCTTGAAAGTCTCCGGGTTCAGAGCAAAAGATGTGCTTTGTGAGGCCCCCCACCCTTTCACTTGCAAGACCCCCTACCAGATAATTCTACTCTCTCTCTCTCTCTCTTGCTCTCTCTTTCTCTTGCTCTCTCTCACTCACTTTCTCTCTCTGTCTTTCCTTGGACAAATAGTGGACTGCATATGGGCAGAGAACACTTCAGGACTGGATTACTCATGTCTCAGTCTTAGGGATGTCACGATTGTTTATCAAAATCGTTCAAAATTACGTCACGGTCTCAATCATCGAAATCAAAGAAGGGATCGACAATAACCTCCCGCCAGGTTTACATACATCAGGGAGGTGTGCAAAGAGATGACAACGAAGCACATTGTAGCAACCGCCACTAGGTAATGCTAGCATACCTGCAGTTTATGACGCCATGGCAAGCCGCTCCTGCTTCTCTTAAATCACCGGTGTGGAAATATTTTGCGTTCCCGGTGAGTTATGTTGTAGCACCTACAACGTAGACCACTGTGTGTAAGATATGCTATGATATTCTACGATAAGATAAGATAGACTTTATTGATCTCACACAGGATATATTTACATGTCACATCTGTGAAAGAAATGTGCAAACATGTTAAATGCGGGATATAATATGTACAATAGAAAGGGGCGATTAAAAAGTGGAAATCAAATAAACAGTGGCAATAGTAGTGCAGGTTTTTTCTTTTTATGCTATGATTTGCTAAGATTTGCTAAGATATGCTATTATATGCTATGAATGACATGCTTTGATATGATTAGATATGCCATGATATGCTATGTGCGTCGTGTACAAAACCTGGCTAAGGAAAGAACTACAAACATGGCAGGACAAATTTCCCGGCGTCACAAAGATGTAGATTGTACAATTGGGAAGACGCCTTCCTCTGTTCTATCCATGTTTCTAATCAAACTTCCACAGACCTCAGCTCGCACTAAAGCCACTTGTTGTGTGTTTACATAATTCACCCATGGAATGTTAGTTACCTGCACATTTTCAATGAATAACTAACTTAACAAGACCAGTTTGATCCTCATTGCTCAGAGGTAAAGGCAGCGACTTTAATCTTGACCAAAATGATTGCAGTTTAAAAAGGAAAAAAATCAGATACAATCCATTTAAACTTCAAGCGACTGAGTTTGGTCATGTACAGTATATTCGTCCACCGAGGTTTTTCTAATTACTGTATATTCAGGACAATGATTTCTACCAAGAATTTGTCAATCAATTTATCTTGAATTTGCTCATAGAATTTTGTATGGATCCGTGTGAAAAGTATAGTCGAAACACTTCTGGCCCCGTATCATATGTTACTGTTTTGCAGGAAGTATGGACAACAGACCAAGAATAGCAAGATTAACAGACAGATTTTGGATGCCGAGAAAATATATCAAAATCCAAACATTAAGATGAGGTAAGGTAAGATAAAAGATAAGATAATCCTTTATTCGTCCCACAGTGGGGAAAATCTTGCGTAAGATTGACACATACAGTATAAGAGAGTAAAATAGAGTTATGTAGAAATATCCCTATATGAAGTGAATGGAGTCACGTTATAGTCTTATTAGTCGCCAAAATAGCTTGGTCGCTTAAGGGTTTAACATGCAGGCACCGCTGGTACCGTCTCGGCCAGTGAGACGTACCAGGGGGCCTTGGACTCTCCACGGACGCCTCCACTTGTCCTCTCCTTCTCTCCGTCTTTCCTCCTCTTCCACCGGCGTCGCTAACTCAGCCTCTCTCTCGTACTTTATATATAGGAGCAGTGGTGTGGAGGACTGGCCTCTCAATCACACTTCATTCATCGGCGCCGCAGTGTAATAGGACTTGAAGCGAAAGGCCGAGATTGCGGCTCAAAGCGCTCGTGCATAGAGGGGAGCAGAGGAACACGACGAGTCTGCAGCCTCTAAATAACAGCAGGTAAAGAGGACGAGGGTCTGAGGTCTGAGGTGGAGTCACAGAGACGCGTTCAAGATACAGACCTCTGTTTTTGTGGACAAGGAAATGTAACCGCCGTGATTGCTGAAGTCGCCTGGATGACACTGTGAAAGAGCCTCAATAACTACTTTGTGTTTGCGGTAGAGGATATATAACACGGTGGACCGCAGTTTGGACATGTTTGTCTTTATTCATTACTAAAATAATCTTATGCATCAGTTTATTAAGATAGTTCTTTGAGAGTAGGCTCTCAAAGACACTTCACAGGTCAGCCACAGCTGCCCTGGGACGTACTGACAGAAGCGAGGTAACCAGTCTCTGCCATTGGCTCCTCCCACCATCACCAACCATTCACACACCAGACTCAATCTAATGTGGGAAAAGTGTCTTGCCTAAGGACACAACCACAGTTTGGCACTTTACAGCTGCAGCCTGGGCGGCACGGTGGCTGAGTGGATAGCACTCTCGCCTCACAGCAAGAAGGTCCTGGGTTCGAATCCCGGCCGGACCAGGGCCTTTCTGAGTGGAGTTTGCATGTTCTCCCCGTGTCTGCGTAGGTTTCCTCCGGGTACTCCGGTTTCCCCTACCACTAAAAATATGTACAATAGGTCTGGCATGCGCCTCCTGTTCGGCGACCCCGCTCCCATCTCTGTGTGGAGTGAGAGACTAATGCCCAAAAATAACAATTGTAAACCGCTTTGTGACTCTGGTCTGTGAAAGGCGGTATATAAATAAAGCTTACTTACTTACTTACTTACTTACTTAGCCCCGAGGTCTCCCATCACAATACTAACCAGGCCCTGCCCTGATTAGCTTCAGAAGTCTGCTAGGATCTGGCCGCAGACAAAAAGAAGCTGGTGTTGATTTGAAAACAGACAAAAGTAGCAATGAGTTTATTGTTTACAGTCGTTGCTTTTTGTGGAGCATGATCCAACCCACTCCACTCCAAAGGATTTCTTTTATGTTTAGTTTTTCGTCTTTCTTGTCTCCATTGAGATTCCAGGCTGTTATTCCACTTCTACTTTTTGAGGCGTAGCATGTTTCAAACTCTGCCACTCAACGCTTTGAAATACAGAAAAGAAACAATGTCTTCTCTTGGATAAATGTACCTGAAGCGATCGAATGGCGGTTTGTGCTGTGACTAGTTTGACAGAGAAAAATGTTAAATTAAAAGCTAAATCCATGTTGCTGTATCTTAGCTGCATGTTAAAGGGACACTACGTCACTTTTTGGCAAGATCTGGTGATGATAAATCAGTTTTGTTGAGCCTTATTGAAGTCATGGTTTAGGTTGGCACAGCAAGAAGCTTCTGGGTTTGATTCCACCTCAGGACTTTCTGTGTCTGTGTAGGTTTCCTCCAGGTGCTCCGGTTTCCCCTACAACTAAAAAACGTGCCTCCTGTGTGACGACCCGCTTCCATCACGGTGTGGAGTGAGAGGCAAATAAAAAAGGGTTTGGGTTGATTCTCAGTCTGTGGCGCTCTATAGATTACTTAATTATTTTACTTATAGTCACTCACTAACTACACTGCAATACATGATAAAAAATGATATAAATTTATATAAAAATAAGTCTTAAAACAAGATTTGCTATTGTGAGAAAAATCCTTCAGTCTTATTTCTCATTCCAAGGGAGACACATTGCTTGTATATTTTAAAAACAAGATCATTTTGCTTTGTCCCACTGGTAAAGCTTGTTTTAAGGCGGTCTGTTAAAGGCGCTATACAAATAAACAGGCTTACTGACTTACAAAAACCAACCTTGGAGAACCTTGGAGAGCACCACAGTGACAGGCATTCTTGAGAGGATGGTTCCAGGGCTTTACGACCTCATTTTTGTGAATATCAGAATCAGAACTATTTTAATTGCCTTTTTAGATAACAGAAAGGCAAAAACTAGGAATTAGCTTTGGTACAAAGTGCAAAATGTTAGAGAAAAAAGTAGATATATGAGCCCACTTACATACATGGTACCAGTGCTTTGTTGTTAGTCTAATACTCACAAACCCACAAGAACATAAGGATTTAGTCAGTCAGTAAGTAAGTGATATTTATTCATATAGCGCCTTTTTACAGAGCTCAAAGGTCACTCAAAGCGCTTTGGATTCAGCGCTTCAGATATTGATCCATTCTCTCCACACGGTGATGACGGGATCAAGACGCCGAACGCACTGGGGCATCAAAGCCTCCGACCAAACACCATCCATTCACTCACTACATTCAGAATTATTGCAAATGTGTTTAGTGGTAGGGGAAACCGGAGCACCTGAAGCAAAACCTACCTTTAGGACCTCCTTTTTGTGAATATCAGAATCAGTCACAGTCTTACAGTCACAAACCTACAAGAACAGATATATTTTGGTGGATTTGAGTGCATTCCTACGCTACAGCTACACCTTTGTCCGCGTTTGCAGCTGGTCTATTGTGAACCGCGACAAGTGTTCATCTGCTAACCCACGACTCTCTCCACTTTCTAACTATAGCCGCCACATCATAGCGTCTTTAGCATAGCAGAAATACATCTCCCATCTCATCTTGAATCTCTATGACCCGACGATATGGAGTCAGGCTTCACGACGGCACTTCCACCGGCCCTCTTCCCCATAAGACGCTCTCAGCCCGCCCTCTCCTCCTTCTCCTGCGCACCCACACTTTACTCAAGTATCATTAGAGCTGTAAAAGCCAGGTTGCCATAGGACTCTGGATTGCTGCAAAACCTATAGACTTTGACGCAGCCACCATATTTTGAATGTAAAGATCCAAGTATGCTTCCTAACGCGAGAGGCTATCTATCGCAAAGGGTGTAGCAGGGAGGGGACGAGCCAGGGCTGTTGATATATCCATGCATGCATTTTTCATGTCTTTGCTTTTTGCTTCTCTTGTTTGCCGAGATTGCTAGCTTTCGCCTCCGTCTATCCACTTTCCCGGCCGTACGTGCCTCGCTTGTTAGTTAGTGGAAAGACGCAAGATAGCATAGGAGTGGCGCGGCGGTCTTGCTTGGCTCGTAATGGCCACCCTTTCTGATTTTTTTCCCGTCGGGTTTCTACGGAATGCGCCGAACAAGGGGATTGTTTCTGTGAAAATTATTCCATTTTGCCAGGAGAGCAGAGCAAGAAAATGGCTGGAGCAGATCTTGTTGGTGTCCCTCGGGGGGTGGCGCTTGTATTATCAGGGCAGAGGGACCAGTGGCAAAGAGGCAATCATTCTAGACCTGTGCAGGGACAAAAACACTTGAGGACAGCGAGGAGTAGAGAGGGGAATCACGGTACAATAACGGCGAGGTCTTGGCTGGCAGCTGGGATAGACACTCTCACAGCTGCGACCGGCACAATGGAGGCACCTGCACCAGCCACACAACACGACCAGGGCCAGAGAGGATAAGGTTGAGACCAGGGTCAGAGAGGCTGAGACCAGGGCCAGAGAGGATAAGGAGGCTGAGACCAGGGCCAGAGAGGCTGAGGCTGAGACCAGGGCCAGAGAGGCTGAGGCTGAGACCATTGCCAGAGAGGCTGAGGCTGAGACCAGGGCCAGAGAGGCTGAGGCTGAGACCATTGCCAGAGAGGCTGAGGCTGAGACTGAGACCAGGGCCAGAGAGGCTGAGGCTGAGACTGAGACCAGGGCCAGAGAGGCTGAGGCTGAGACCATTGCCAGAGAGGCTGAGACTGAGACCAGGGCCAGAGAGGCTGAGGCTGAGACCAGGGCCAGAGAGGCTCAGACTGAGACCAGGGCCAGATTGCCTGAGACTGAGACCAGGGCCAGAGAGGCTCAGACCAGGGCGAGAAAGACTGAGGCCGAAACTGGGACTGAGACTAAGACTTTGTGCTTTGGGTGATGTGACTGTGAAGCGCTATTGTGTATGAAAGGCGCTCTACAAGTAGAGATTGATTGAGACTGAGGCTGAGACTGAGGCTGAGGATGAGACCAGGGCCTGAGAGGGTGACTGAGGCTGAGGCAGAGGCTAAATCAGTGTTTCCCTTTTTGTTGTAAAACAGTCAATGAATATGATATCTATTATTAATCAAACAAGCAACCACAATAAATTCCAACCCAATCCAAACTCGCTTCTGAACTAAAACCCGTCAAGTTGACTGCTTTGAAGTAATCAGCTTTTTCTTTTCAAAGTGTAAATACTCATCTTGTGTGCATTCTCGGTCTTCATAACTTTGTGACTATTTCTGTTTCTTTACGTAGTGTATTTATTATGAAATTATCTTTTATTTTGAAATGTGAGTCGTTCTTACAATGGCCACATTCTGTTTACCGTCCAAGTTAGCATTTGTTGCTGTATTCAGTTGCAGTTATAATGACCAATTTGAGCATTTATTTAAAAGCGAGTAAATGTAAAAACCTCTTTTAATGAATCTGGTGGGGAAAAAACTAAATATTCTTTGGGTGAAACTTCCACTTCCACAGCAGTCAAAACGACGGCTCTGGGAGTCTCAGTGTTAATCAATGCGCCTCACAGCAGCTCATAATGAACTCCACACACACAGAGAGAAACTTCCCTCATTAACAGAGAGCCGTGCGTAATCCCTGTGACGCGCGCTCACACCACGCATCTGGCTGAGTGGTTAGCGCACGGACGGGGGCGCGCACATGCAGCGTGTGGGTGCATCTCAGAGCGCGTCTCCTCACCGAGGGCCTGCCACTAATTTGCTTTTGGAATCACCACTTGAGCCGCTGCCTCTCACAACAAACTAATCCTCCCAGAGATTTTTACTGCATCGGATTGAGCTTGTATCGCTATGACGACCTGCACTACACCCCTGGTTCATGTTAATGTTCGTCGTGCA